TAACCACCTAAGTGTAGCAAAACACCTCTTAATTTTCTATTTATAAACTAATTTAAGACTAGCTACCATTAGTTATAAAGAGGGAAAGAGGAAGCCCAAATTATGCAAAATTTCAAAAGTTGGTGAATTGTAAAAGTGAAGATTTGATAAATTTGAAAAAAATGTTTACGAAAATAATATAAAGGAAAAATTCACTTATTTATAATTTTTTAATCTTCAAGATTCCTCTGAAGCATTTTTATTCTATGTAATCAAAGTTTTTATATAATTAAAGTTTTTATATATTCAAAGTTTATTGTAAATATATTATTTTATTAGAATATAACTACTGTAATTTTAACCAGTGGTTAAATATTATAATTTTAACCAGTGGTTAAAAATTATAATATTTAACCACTGGTTAAAATTATAATATTTAACCAGTGGTTAAAAATTATAATATTTAACCACTAGTTAAAATTAGTTATATTTAACTCGGTTGCATCATTAATTTAAATATAATCATGTAACAATTAACTTATAGATTTGAATTGACTCCATTTATTGCTTCGCTTTAATTTTTTTGCTTGTCTTCATCTACCTTTTCGCTGTTACTTGTATTTGAACAACTTTAATAAAAAGATCTATCCTGAATAAATCGTCACGTCATTTTCATTTATCTAATTTAATTTAGAGCATCGTTTATACGTATACTACTACTCATTTTTCCCTTTTCTAATCGCTTTCTCTTTTTCCTTTTCCGATTGCCTTCCCTTTTCTAATCATTTTCCCTTTTCTGATCACTTTCCATTTTTTAATCGTTTTCTCTTTTCTGATCGCTTTTTCTTTTCTAATCGTTTTCTCTTTTTAATTGCTTTTTTTTACCCTTTTCTGATTGCTTTCTCTTTTCTGATTGCTTTCCTGTTTCTGATCACATAATATTTTCTGATTGCATTCCTTTTCTGATCTTTCCCTTTTCTGATTGCTTTTCCTTTTTACTTTTCTAATCACTTTTTTTCAATTGATTTTTGTTACTACTAAGTTGTAAAAGAAAACACTTACTATTTGTTGAAACGTTCAGGAATCCTCAGGCAGCTAGAAAAAATTGCCACATATTAATCGTTATATTTTAATTTTCTTGACTTAAATTGGATCACGGTTCACTTCAATCAACTATTTTCTCACACATAAATAGAGCTTGATGCCGATTCATTCCCATCCTTTGAATACTATCCTCTTCCTCCATTATTTGAAGATAATTTGAGTGTTGAGTCTCAACATTATGGTTCTGAACCAAGTATCGTCACAGATATTCATAATAACGAAAATGATGTCAACAATGTTATTGATACTCATAATGAAGAAGAAGAGTGCGAGGATGATGATATAGAATATGAAAGTACAGAATTAGATGTATTAAAATTAACTACAGATATGGAATTTGAAACATGGGATATCGCTAAGTCATACTTTGAAAATTATGCCAAACAAGAAGGATTTTCTTTTCGTAAAAGGCGTTGTTATAATGATCCAGCTGATAATACTATAGCACGTCGTTGAACTTATAAATGCTCTCAGGCACGTATACACCAAGCTGAAAAAGTTGTTTTAGCAGAGAATAGGAGAAAAAGAGACTCGGTGATAATTGGTTGTTCTTGGCATGTTAACATGTCATTTCCTAAAAAAGCACTTGGAGTCCAGATAAATAGTATAGTAGGTGAACATAAATATCCTTTGAACCTGTTGATTTCAGAAACTGCACTTAGATTTCATCGGTTAACTGATGAAATGCTTAAAAAGATTGAGTTTTAGACTATTAAGGGGAAGCTAAGTATGACTGCACAATATAATCTATTAGTTGCATCATTTTCTGATAGAAAGGTTGACAAAAAGGATTTGAGTAATGCTATTCAACGTTATAAAAAGCAGCTAAAGCCCTCAAAAAATGATGTATGTCAAACATTAAACGATTTGTATCTAAAGAAGGATGAGGACCCATCATGGGTAGTAAAACCGAGATTTGATCCTGATGAAAGAAGATTGATGGCGTTATTCTGAATGTTCCCAGCTCAGATACATGCTTACGAAAGGTTTCATGATGTTGTAATCATTGATACAACATCAAAAACTAACCAGTTTGATATGATTTTGCTTATAGTAACAGTTGTTGATAATGACTTTCAGAATCTAATAGTCGCTGTGGTGTTGTTGGAAGATGAGACAGAATTAACATTTACGTGGGTCTTAGAAGAATTGAAAGAAGCTTGTAAAGTTACTCCAATAGTAATATATTCTGATGTGGATTCTGCTTTTATATCAGTAGTACGAAATACTTATCATGAAACCCATCACTTTCATTGTATGTTTCATATTGGCTTGAATTTAAAAAAGCAACTAAAAGGAAAGTTACGTGACCAGTTTGAATTATTTCAGTCTAAATTTTTAGCAATGTGTAATTCTCTATGTAAAAAACAATTTGAAATTAGATGGGCTAAACTCATTGAAGAATATCCTATTTGCGAACAATACCTTATACATGTATTATATTCTTGCAAGGAAAGTTGGACCAGTTATACAGTTAATAAACATTTCACTGCGGGAATTCAGAGCATACAACGGGCAGAAAGTTCCAACAAAATAGTGAAAGAAAGACTTGATCAATGTTCAAGATTAGTCGATGTTGTTGAAGAAATCCAAGCAATATTTGATAGACAATCGAAGAGAGCAATAGTTAATGAATTTAAAAATGAAATTGCAACTAGAGGGCTACCTAATGCATTGGAGGAATACTTTTCAGAAATAAATAGGTTGTTGAAAGAATATCTCACACTGCAAATATACCAAAAGCAAAGTGACCAAATGTCTCAATCGCTTTGTTATGATGTTTCTTTGGTTGATAATTGGTCTATGTTATTTGAGGTAAGGAGCTATACTTAATATAATTGAGCACAATTTTTGACTGCATGTATGTAGTATATAGTATGGATATCTTATTTCTTTTATAAGGGTCAGTTAAAGTAGAGTGAATTCAATATATATGATCCATGTACTACATAAGTTGCATTCTTAATATCTATATAGCCCACCTAATTGTATCAAAAAGGTAATCTAAACCTCGCTCTGCTTTAACTAACCCACTATTACAATAGAGTTTAGTTTTGATTAAGTGTTAGTAATTAGGACAAAGGTTAGAAATCATATCCAAGTTTTTTCTTTTAGGAAACGGATGATTCGTATGAATCAGAAACAAGTAGAGAAGATAATTATGACCAACCACAGGCTTTATTTACTTCATTGATTGGTTATATATCATCTGAAAATATTCGAGAAGTATGGAAAGTAATCAGGCATCGATCTCTACAGACAGTACCCCAATATGTTATTGTGCTTGATGATGGATCCCATCTGTGTACTTGCCTTTGGCTTATTACCGTATTTCGCCATATAGACCACACGGCGTCACTTACTTTAAACCTATCTAAAAAGTGATTTAGACCCCTCCGGGGTCTTGTAAAGGATGGGGGTCTACTATCGGGGGGTCTAATGTAAGGAGGGATCTTTATACATATAAATTAAGCTAGTGAAATGTGACTATCTAAAATTTGATTGGTTATTATTGTGAATAGCCAATTAGATTTAAATAGTCATCTATTTTACTAGCTTAATTTAGTTTCATCAGCAACTCTAGTACTGGTACTTTGCAGTACCAATAATAACCTGTGTATATACCTGTATATGAAATTTGTGCACACAGACTATACTTATCGCTATCTATTAATAAATTTAGTGTTAGAGTTACAGGACATACTTATTTTCATATAAATAGCTTGTATTTCGTTTTTTTTTAAAAAAAAATACTAAGCAAGTCGATTTGGAATAACAATTACTATATCTTTCTTTGGCCATTTAATTGGTATGGGTATTCTACATCTAAATTTCAATTATAATTTATTTATTTTAACTCTGCATATAACTTATATTTATTAAATTAAAAAATTAAACAATGTAAATAGTGAAGACGGATAAATTACAATGCTAGAAGAATTAATGAAATTGATCAATTCATCTTTGAAAAAGCATCATGACAAACAGAAGATGATACAAGTTCAATGTCAAAAATTTGTTGGCTAAATTGGATAGAATAAATAATAAATTTTCAGAACTTGAAAAGAAGACACTCAAAACTTTAAATTTTAAATCAACAAAAAAAAAAAAAAAAAGAAAAAAAAAAAAAGACGATTAGAATACATTAAACTATTAAAATGAAATCCTCAATAAACAATATAACTTTGTATTGCTATAAATATAGCATCGGTACTACTAAAAACAAAGACATTATACTAATATGGAATAAATACGGTAAAGGATGAAAAAAGTGATATTTGACATTTAAACTTGCTAAATGAATGGCCTTTAAAGCCAATTAAAGTTAATAGCATCTTGATTTCATAACCTTGTTGAAAGCAGTATTGGCACTGTAAAGAATGAAAAAACATTTGTGCGATATTTAAAATCTGATGAAGGTAAGAATTCTTAGAAAAAATACAGCCCTATAAAAAAAATTTGTGGAATCACTTAATTAATAACCTTCAATTTTAGGATCAAGAAGACATACTGGTACTAACTATAAATTGTCAGATTTCACATGTTCTTCACATGTTTTCCTCCTGTGATTCTTTATATATCACACTTAAATTATGAAGAATGCGAATTTTTGAATGCGAACTGTCGCTTGGCTTTTTTATGTAAGTTTTTTTTTTTAGGCTAATGAATTATATGAATTTTATAATAACATATTACATTTATAGAATGGTTTACAGGTCGAATAACAAAAAACAAGCTACTGTAACTAAAAAAAAAAAAAAAGAACTTGGAACGCAAGAGAAAAAGTAACTATCCTTACTTATCTCGAACGAAATCCTACTGCTAATGTTCGAAATACTGCATTAAAATTTGATATTCAGCCTAATCAAATACAAAATTGGTGAAATAAATGAGAGCAATTAGTAGCTGCTGCTCCTTACATGAAACGTCTTAATACAGACTTTCGACCTAAATATCCTGTCCTTGAAAATGAGTTAGTAAAATGGGTTAAAGACTTGCGCAAGAATCAAAAGGCTGTATCACATTATATGGTACAAAATAAAGCTAAGAGTTTAGCTTTAAATGTACAGTTTAATAGATTGTATCCATTAATTTATGAGTGTAAATGGAGTGAAAAATGGTTAGATAGATTTATGTGCCAAAATAATTTAAGTAACCACCGACGTACAACTACGGCTCAACAATTGCCTGAAAATTTAGAGGAGTTGCAGCATGAGTTTTTGAACCTTGTATTATATCGCTGGATTCAACACAACTATCCATTAAAACTTATTGCTAATATAGATGAGACCCCAATTTATTTTGAAATACCAAGTGCTACAACAATTGAAAAAACTGGTGCCAAAACGATTAGTATCCAAACATGTGGTTATGAAAAGTCCCATTTTACTATAGTTCTAATATGCTTGGCAGATAGAACAAAATTACCACCAATAATTATTTTTAAGCTTGCTAATGTTACTCAGCAAACTTTTCCAAGTAGTATTCAAGTTCGTGCAAATAAGGAAGGATAGATGAATGCTGATGAAATGCTATGGTAGATTGAGAATATTTGGACTCGTCGTGCTCCATTATCCAAACATCCCAGGTCTCTTTTAGTCTTAGATTCTTTTAAAGGGTATTTAACAAACTCAGTGAAACAACGATTTTTTGAACATAATACAAACTTGGCAGTTATTTCTAGAGGATTAACACCCAAATTGCAACCTCTTGATGTTGCAATCAATAAACCTTTTAAAACAAAGGTGAGTAATCTATAGTAATACAAAGTGGGTAATCTATAGTAATACAAAAATAAAAAAAATGCTGCGGCTGATGCTGAAATCTGGAGTCGTAATTTAAAATATGAGCCCTATTAAAATTCATATTACTTTTTAATTCACATATACT